TATATAAGTTTTTATATATAAATATATATGTAAATATAAAGGAAGACATTCTTTTTTATATATGTGTATATATATGGGAATGATTGCTAAAGCCTGGCTCACATGAGCAGTGCTGGGCAGCCGTTCCCCCTCTTTTATTTTCCTTTACTGTATAACAACCTGGAAAGCTTTCAGAGCAATAATGCAATTGGGATGCTTACTTAGCTAGAGTCTTCTTGCTTCTCATCCTTGGAGAAAGGGCTTGGAGTTTTATACTTGCAGATACTGAACTTGCTGGCTGTTTGCTTTCTCTGTCTCCTCTTTCTCTCTCTATTTTCACATTTTGCCCTCGTTCATGGGTTTTCTGTGCCAAAAGCAGAGGAATTATGGCCATAGCCCACCTGCCTCTTCATGCTTTCATTTCATCAGTTACTTTCCTTGTCTCAGCCAGTTGCTATTTCATGCACAGAATAGGTTGTGGACATTATTATTACTATTTTTGTTATTTTTAATAATGCAGCTTGCTCCTGCTTATCCTGTAAATAAAAGCCAGTTCTTTTTTTTTGTTGTTGTTTCTTTTTAAAGGAGCTGGAAGAAACTAACACCAGAGAGCTCAATGCTGTTATTTCTTAACTTCTGCATCCTCTGAGGGCTACAGCCCGATCGTGGGGCTACGATTCATCTGGGTGTTCCCACTCGTTGTAGAAAGCGTGCTGGCTTTAAGCTCTACATTTTATATAAAAGTATAATCACAGTTCTGAGAAGTATTCTAGGGAAAGGTCTAGTCCTAACCTACTGAAAACAATGAGAAGCTGCCCTCTGACTTCCCTGGCTTTGGATCAAGCCCTTATTATTGCCTCCTAGAGGGGAAGGAAAAGAAACTTCTTTTTAAGTTTGCAGCATTTTTCACAAAAAGGGGTTGATTTCAACAATTACTATTTAGGAAAAGGATCAGCTGCAGGTAGTATTTGAAAACCAACTGATGTTTCCCTTCTGTGAATGAAACATCCTTTACATGCGGTATTGGCCAGGTGTCTACAACTCTTCGCTTTTGAAATTAGAACAGAATAAGAACTTTCTATAATTCTTAAAAATAAGTCTGTATGTCCCAGGAGCACAGTTCTTTACAGTACTACGTAATTCCAAATAAATGCTAACACATAGCTGTTTTTTCTTGAGTCTAAGTCTGTCTTCACATAACACTGATCAGAGCTTTGCATGTTTAAATGTGTATTTTTCACAATCTCACTGTTTCACCAAACTAGTGAGAAGACTGAGTATTGGTCTTAAGCTGGGTTATCCTGAACTGCCATGCATTTGTCGGCCAGTATCTCAGCCAGACCAGGGAGGACAAGTTCAGATTATTTCTGAATGTGAAGTCTGAGGTAGGAGTTGGGTCTTTTCCTACCGGCAGCCCACACTGCAGGTTGGGGGGCAGCCAGGACCATTGCGTTAGCTGTTATTCTTCTAATGAAATTGGACTGTTAGGAGGGAAGTTTAATTCCAAATATCAGGTATAATACAGACAATATTGAATGACAGATGAAAAGCACCTGGGATCAATTAATTGTATGTGCTGTTCCACTTCAGTTTTATTCTTTCCCTTATTTGCAGCTTGTGAGATTTTTTTTGCAGTCTGTATGCATTACTAAATCAACCATCTAGTTAAATCCTTCATGTACCTTTTCACCTCTTTTGTATGGTGTCCTGCACGGTGGTTGGTGTTAGTGCAGATGCCACTGGCTTAATAACAATAATAAAAAGTTGATTCCCTCTTCTGTTTTCCTTTGACAGATGCAAGTCTTTCTATTGCTGCCGAGTGGCATGAGCCTCACGCTCTGTCCACAGACATCTGCTCCATAAAAATACAGGATGTTATTGCCATGGCAAATTGTGCCACTTGGATTAAAAAATGTGTTACCTGAATATTGTTTGTTGTCTTTACGGAGTCTATTGTCCATGTGGTTTTTATCCTGAGCTGGTGAATAATGTCTATTTTTTTCACTGAAACTTGAAATTTGGTTTTAAGTAAATTGGCAAATGACACCAGTAATGAAATCCTGATGGGTATTTTAGCTATTGTTACTGGTTTCCTTGGAGCTCCTATCCAAGTTACGATGCTTTTGAGTTTTGGTCTTTTTATATATTCGTAGTCACAGGATCACATTTTTCTCTCTTCCACTGTCTGTGGTGTTAGTTGGCCTGTAAATAGTTCTTCATCCCTGCTTCCGTTTGCTCTTTTCCCAAATTAAAATGTTAACTAAAGAATAATTAACGTTCTTTAAGGTTAACAAGCAGAGATCAGGCAAACTATGAAGAATTTTTGTTGCTTGCTTTCAAACAACTCTGGTTCTGTTCTGTAGATTTCCTATAAGAACTAGCAATTTTTATATAAGTAATGAAGTTTATGCATGTATATATAAAATAAGTCATTACCATTTATTATTGTTATTTATTGTTTTATGAAAATATAATTTAAGGCTGTGGGGCCGCATGGAGGCATGCTAATCTATTTATTATTCATTATCACAGGTACAAGTGACCCATATGTGAAGTTTAAACTGAATGGGAAAACTCTATACAAAAGTAAGGTAGTCTACAAGAACCTCAACCCAGTTTGGGATGAAACTGTTGTGCTGCCTGTACAGACCCTCGATCAAAAACTCTGGATCAAGGTAAGTTTTGGGTTTAGACTTTTGAACGATGGGTCAATATTTTTTTAAGCAATTATTTTCAATGTTAGAAATGTATTGATTTTTATTCATTGTAGCAGTGTAACATAAACCAATCCAGTTTAAGACTTTCAGCAATTTCAAATTAAAATGCACATATGTCTTTTCCAGATTTTACTTGCATGTTTTCCTTCCTGTCTGCAAAAACCCAAGTTGAAATAAAACTCCTTGACTGGATATGTTTAAAGCTATGGAACTAAATTCTGCTCGCTCTTACCGTGCTTGTGCAAACTCAGTGAAACCCATAGTGGTTTCATAAGCACGTTTTAAGAGTGTAATTTGGCTAGGTTGAGCAGAATTATTACCTGGGATGCAGCCGTGACAAGTAGTAAAGCCTTTTCTCATTATGAGTAACGTTACAGTTACCAGAATTGCAAGCTACCAGTTGTGAGCACTAATTGCTAAAACATCTGTAGCCAGAAGTACCTGATTTTTGTGCAGCGTTTCATTATGCTATCGCGCAGAGCATAAATGAACAGGCACAATCCATAGCAGCACACATGCCTCTGTTTACATAATATTAAGAAGATACTTTCAAAATGCTGTTTAAATATTTAGTTAAAAATACAAATTAAAGCAGGGAGATGGAAAATTATCCCTGAATTTTATCTAAGCTTTGATCTTTCAAATACAACATTGAACTGAAAGGGCTTAAAATATGTGTTTTTTTATCAGCTGGGATAAAGCTGGCTTATGATGTGAAAACTATATCTATTTTATTTTGCTACCAGGTGTATGATCGAGATTTAACCTCTTCAGACTTCATGGGTTCGGCATTTGTAGCGCTCGCTGAACTTGAACTCAATAGGTAATACATTTTTAATTAAAGGTTGTTAATGCAGCTTAATTGAGAAACGTAGGAAAGTAATTGAATGCTTTTGCTCTGGCTTGGAATTTGTCTGTTCATGAAAACTTATTTTGATAGAAGGGTGGGGAGCACATTTTAAAAAAAAAGAAATTGCATGAGAGTAATCCTGTACACCTATGTTTATCCGGTGTGAATGACGTGCAGGATTCAGATCCAACCTGTATGAGCCCCATTCAGCAGAAGGTGCCCTTTCCTTCTCATGTCTAGGAATAAGAATAAGAGTTTCTATATGCGGCGTTGTTTTGGGAGAGCTACACCAGAATAATTTATGGAGGTGGAAGAAGAACGAAGGGAAAAGGTTGAGACCCCTTCTTAGCCCCATGTAGCACGGGGTGCCTTTTTCTGTATGTAATTGGGCCGGGGAGCAGTTTGCCTGGCTGGCTGCAAGCTCCCCGTTTCCAGCCTGCCCCCGCAGCCATCCATCCCAGCAGCAGCTCATCTGGCCCTGATTTAGTGCGGAGGCAAGCCCTGTGCCTTTTGTCTGCTGCTGCTGCTGCTTGGTCTCAATGTGGAGCTGGAAGCCAGGAATTCAAGTTTTAGTTCTTTCTTTTATACTCCCTTGCAGTGCAACTTTTTTCTTGGAGAAAATGAGTTCTCCCTGTGCAGGTATATTAGAGGTCCCATGGCTGTTATTTCTGAATTTCTAGAAACCTTAATGAATTTATCCCTGAGACAGTGCCAGCAGGTAAATACCAGCATTCCCGTTTTCAGAGAGGGAACTGAGTCACGGAGGGAGATTAAATGCAGGCAGAGATAAGGCAGAATAAATATCTCCAGAGTTGAATTCCAGCCATTAAAGTTAGAAAATTCACTTGGATGCATTTCCCTGTCACTCTTCTTCCCTGTGAAGTGGAAGTAGTAGTAACTTAATTCGGCATGTATCTGCATATGGAGAGTTACGAGTGTTAAGCAATGCTATATAAACACCACGCTGCGTTATTAAAGGGGGGTGTACTTTGTCAGAACTAAGGAGGTACCTCCACATTTCCTGTTTTAACATTTAAACTCAATATTAGGAATTTCAGAAGCTGAAATTTGCACAGCTCAGCGTGACCTTTAATAATGAACTCAAGTTAACTGAAGTCAATATATACATGTCTTTTTTTTTACTTGTAGAACTATTGAACAGGTTTTAAAACTGGAAGATCCCAACAGTTTAGAAGATGACATGGGAGTGATTGTATTAAACTTGAGTCTAGCAGTCAAGCAAGAAGACTTCAAGAGAAATGTAAGTGGCTTAGGAAATCAAATTTATGGCTGGAATGTGTGTGTGGGGGTAAGAGCTGGCCTAATCTGATTTACTTGGAAACGCCACCTTTATTTTCATCCTCCGAGACTCAATATTGAAATCAAGATAGATCATAACTTTAAAAAAAGCCACCTATTTAACTGGGTAAAAGTTGCTTTGACATGTGTAGCTGGGTGGTTGTGTCTCGTAGCTCTGACGCGCACCGTGGCAGTGCTCTCCGTCTATCAGGGGCATGGTATACGTCACCGCAACCTGCACCTTGCTGATGTATGAACCATACCTGCTGTGATCGCTATTCCAGAGCATACTATTTTCTGATTTCCACCTAGAAGTTTAGCCCTTTAAAAGAAACAGTTGGTGGGTTTTTTCTTTTTTTTTTCTTTTTTTTTTTTTTTTTTCTTGACAATGAAAAAAATGTATCTGTGTGAAATCTAAAAGCAGATTTGATGTTAAGACTTAAACTACACCAATCCTGCAGAGGAGCACACTGGCTGAGAGGAAAAGATTGCATGTAAAAACCCTGGCTATATAGTCTAGTATGAAAGTTGCTGTTTACAGCACATTATTGAATTATAGGTATGGAATTCCAGTCTGAATTGGATTATTTATAGAAACGTAAATGTTTCAAGGGGTTGGAAATAAAAATAAGAAAAAGCTAATGTGGGACGTCTGCTGTTCATTACTTATTTTTCAGATAGTTGCCTTTTTGAGAATCGTAAAATCTCAATTAATATTAAGATATTCTACCTCAGTATGTGATTATTTAAAACCTTAATGACAACATTCAGAACAGTGTTGTATTTATATATCTATATTATGTGATGGCTTTGATCTGGGATGTGAATTCCCCCTCTAACTTGTACAGGAGAATGTTGTTGGCACATATGCCGCTGGATTGCAGGAAGGGGTGAAGCAAAGACATAAAGTTACTTTAGCAAGCAAGCAGTTTATCTGAAAGAACCTCAGGAATTCTTCTGGGATTTTTGGGAAGGCATGGGCTAAACTGGACCTGGCCAGTGAGACAGAAAATACATTGGTTTAAAGTAGCAGCTTTTGGTACTCTTCGGCGCTTAGTTAACATTCTGAGTGCAGATGATAGAAGAGTTGGTGCACACTGTAATTTTTTTAAAGACAATGTTTTAAGCCCTCATATTTCAAATGCAAATTGCTCAGCCATTTCCAGTGGAATCAGAATAGTGAAATGGCTCTGTCCACATTAGCACTTAGCAGCAAGATGATTTTTTTTTTTTCCTTTTTAAATTAGCTTACTGTAGAACCAGATGGCACCAAAAGTATAAGCCATGTTTCTTACTAATGGCTCTGGGTCCCTCCACTTTTTATTCTTGATTACTTTTTACTTTTTTTTATTTCCTCTTTTTTTGGTGCAATGCAGGTATTTTGAGTTTGTGATTGTTATATTCCATGAGGGAGGGGAGATAGATGAATGCAGTTGTAAATCCAGCCCCCTACTTAGTAATAAGCTTTTCTAACACATTTGACAAGCTGCTGTTTGAATTACTTTACTAAACACTTTCTCCGTTTTACTCCTTCTCTGTTTCCTCTCTCTGGGTTCTCTTTGGTACAATGGTGGGGACCCATGAATAGAGATGGTCAAGTCGGAAGAAGCGAACTTCATCCAAGGTAATCCATATTTTTTCTCTTTTTAAAAAAAAAAAAGTCCTCTCCCAAAATCTGTGCCATCCTCTGAAATAGAAAGGATAAACATGGGAAAACTCTGAAGCATACATGCAGCCTGTCTTAATGTGGTGGCTGTGATAGCATTTGCTTTTTTGCTTTTTTTTTTTTTTTTTAATGTGATGAGAAATTGCTGCTGTTTTCTTATTGTAGGTGCTATGGTAGCATCCGGTGGTAAGTGAGAGTAAGACCCCATATAGCAAAGAGCTGTAGGAGAGAAAAACTGTCTGTACTAAGAAAATAAGTGTAAATTCAAGCAAAAAAAGGAGCTGTGGAGTATTTGAGTTGTTTAAGAATACCTGAAAGGTGGCCAGTAGTTGGTACTGGAGTTGAACGCAGGTCTCCTGGATCCCAGTCTAATCGATTGCATCGCCTCTTGCCATGGGAGGAATTTTGTGAGGCAGTATTTCTTCTGGTCGCTCCTGTGGGTTCTGAAATTCCTTTTGTTCTTGGGATGGAGACCGAGCAGAGAGTTTTCATTACCAGCAATGTAGCAGGATTTCCAAGATTTGTGTGTTGCTACATAGCTACATAACTTGCTTTCCTTGGTCTTCTGTAGTATCCTTGCAGGCTTCCATTATTCTTATGTTCCTACACTGTCCCATTCTTGCATTAGATTTTAACTTTTTTGGGAAACAGACTGTGGCTTTTTATTTGTTCTGTAAAGCTTTAATTTGCTATTGAGTAAATAATAATGACATAGAAACTGCAGGCCCTAGTACCCACCTTGAGAGCTATACAATCTAACTTTCCGAAAAGCAGAATTTGGCTCTTACGCGAACACATATGCATCTTGATATTTTCCCTATATAACTATTGGTTTGTGCCTAAATAAATTGAATAATTAACCTCCTCTTGTTTTATTTGTTACAACTGCTATGTGCAGTGTAAAAGAGCCAGTCCTCTCAGGTATTGTGCCAGCAAGTATATTTTTGTCAATAGAAGAAGTGCAAAGTACAGCCCTTGGAGCTGGATGGCAGCTTGGCGAGCCCCAGTTTCAGGGATAACGCGGCCCTTCCCGCAGCACTTGGTGCGGAGAGCCGCCAGGCATCCCTGAATGCTGTATGACAGAAAGTGATGGAATAATTGAAGAGCTCAGCACTTTAGTTTTTAACTAAAGCTCTGGAAATTACTGTGCCCTCACTCAATCAGTGTAGCTTGATCCCCCTTTCTCTCACGCATGCACACACAGCTGTCTCTTGACGCTGGTTGGCTTTGGGTCCTGGAAAGGGAGCCAGGTTTTTAAACTCTGGTCCTTTTTGTCCAGAATAGCCAAACTTCTGTCTTGGTTGCTGCCACTGGATTTTTTTTTTTTTTTTTTACCTGCTGCCACTGGATTTTTTTTTTTTTTTGTACCCTATATCTCATTGCATTTTGAATAATTTTTTTTACATACAGGACATTTTACATACATTACATTTTTGGACCTTTAGCTGTAAGCCATACTGGCAGGTCTGGCTTGTGCCTTAGCATCTTTTTAAATAAAAATAAGGGATGCTGAAGCATGGTACTGAGTTAGAAGTGAAACTATTGTTTAAAAGAAGAGGGGGGAAAAAAAAAAAGAGCTGCAACCCTGTGCTCTATTCTGTTCCAGTCACTAGAGGGTAGGAGAGCTTCAGTTCTTCCTATGGAAGACACAGTTCATGCTCCAGTGTGATCTCTAAAGAAAAGCTCTGTGACCATCCAAAGGCAGTAAAAATATTTCCCAGCATGCGCTGGAAAAATCTGACAAAGCAGTATTTCCTACTTTATTGATTCTGCTACTGCACTAAAACACTAGTACTGTACATCAATAACCATCTTTAGTTAGGAAACTCTGGTCTGTGGAAGCAGTACTAGCAGTTTGTGGCAGAACATAAAGGCTAGAAAGAAAAATTGTGTGCATGGGGAATATAGGCATCTAGGGAAGGCACAAGAGGTTATGGAAGAATAGCCAGAGAGTATGATGGGGTAGAAAACAATGTTGCTGGACGAGATAAAGATACGGGAATAAGGGGGGCAGGGGAAATGGAGAGAGCTCTGTAACTGGTACACAAACTCGTCTCTTTTGGCTGCTGAGCTGACTCTGGTTGGTTGTTGCAGGAGAAAAAGGCCATATACTTTCCATTTGAGCAGCTGAACTGAGACAGATCTAAATTTCATCTCTGTAGGTTTAGGCAAATAAAAGTTTTCTATTAGAAATGGTTTTCCTGGTTTTTTTGTGCTGAACTACAGCTGACCTGTATTGTAATATTTAGCTTTTCTTCTTCTACAAATACAGGGGAAATTACTTATTTTAAGGATGGACAAAATGAATACAACTTTCACAGCCTTTTTTAATCTGTATTGCCTATATGAAAGAAATCTGATTATACTCTAATTTGACCGTTTTATGTTATCTGAGTGCAGATTTGGCACATCAGTGTCCTAAATGAGTCTTGTCACATCAGTCACGGGATTCTTGCTGGCTTCCCAAATTCACCCCAAATGGTTAGTATGCCTGTTGATTGCGTCAATACCTGATGCAACCCCGTGTCAGTCTGGTGAAGGGGTTCACGTGGGCAGCTGTGAATACCGGGCACTCTTCATATGTGTTCCCTGAGCTCAGTTGCTTTTTGAAGAAAAAGCTACATTTCAGACAACAACAAAAACAGCAGCAGTACAGGATCTCCCATCTAGCTATGGTTGTCTCACAGTCATTACAGAGAGTATGCAGGAAGGATTTCAGCAACTGAATATTGTCTTTTAAATCATTTTGGTGTAAGAGCTGTTGAACTGGATGATTTGGCTATCTGTTGATTACACAGTATATATTTTTCACTGCTGCTAGAAGGGAATCATCACACATCTGGGCAGACTCCTGATACATGGTCAGCACATCCAGATCCCTCATTTTTCATGGGAGCTGAGAACAGCATTGTCCTCTGTGGGAGCTGTCTCCAAGAGCGCAGCTTTCTTCTTTTTCTCATGGAGGGTGGCATTGCAAAGGGAGGAGGATATTATTAGGCAGTGCATTACTATATGCACTCACATCTGTGTATTAGCAAGCTCTCCTCTCTTTTCTGTTTTTCTTTCTGCAGCTATCTGGGGCACAGAGGGAGTTGGTAGCTACCTATGCTGGAGCCCAACACACTGATGCTCAGTAGCCTTGTTTGTCCCGGGTGGCTTGAGTCTCACCCTGAGTGCCCTGTGTGCTATTTCCAGCATTTGTACAGCTGACTAACCTTTAAGTGTTGAACATCTATGAAGCAAATAAGCAGGTTTGCTTGGGGTGGATTGACCCGCAGTAGTTCAGTCCTGAAACAAAAGCAACGCAATTGCCACCTTGATCGCCTAAGCTGATTGAATAAATTGGCTGAAAGGCTGACTGGACCCAAGTGCTCCTTGGCGTCTCATCGCAGGGGAAAATCCCTCGCTCCCCTTTTTTTCTGCGTGGGCTGTTAGGTTTCATTTTTGCCTGCCTCATTGTATTTGGCTTTCTCCCGCAATACCCTGTGGGCAGCGGTGCGCTCTGAGTGTTCCGCAGAGCAGAGGGACTTGCTTGCCACAGGGTCACGCATCGTGGCGGCAATCTCGTGTCGGTTCACTTGCCTTTCTCGCTGCCCTCTCCTCTTTCCCGGGGGAGACTGCCTCTGCCAAATGGTTTCCCTGCCTAATGAGGAGAGGTCCAAAGAGTCTTCCTATTTGCGTGTTGTTGTTTTCTCAAATGGCAAATTACATGGCCCAGTTTTGACGTTGACCTCTTCACAGGGATTGCAGCAGGCTTTCTGTTGTCCTGTCTCATCCTTTTAAATGAAAGATGTGAGAGATGGATTCGCTTCACACTTGGCCACCTCGCCATGTCATTTAAATGTACAATTTTTCTGCATCTCTTTATTGCTTCAAAAACAAGTTTGAACTTGGGGCATGTATGTGTGTGTCAGGAAAAGAGACAGATTTGAAAGCAGCCCTGATGCACCAGAGGGGATTCGCTGGGTGCCTATAGAGGGAGATTATATACAAATGGTGTTAGCAGGGAGACTCAAGTTCCCAAAGGATTTTGTGAAGCTGGGTCAATGAGATGGTTCTTCCCCCTCCAAAGCTCTGGCATTCTTGCTTGTCTCCTGTATTTGCCTCTGTGAAGGCAGAATATGGCCCACCTGCTCATTCTTGTCTGGTTTTCTTCTTTAAACCAGAGCCAGAATGTAACAAAGAATTGAAAGTTGGTGTGTGAAGCTTTTATATTCATTTTGAAACCAGAAACCAGATTCTGAAAATGGTATTGTGAGCACTGATTTTTAATTTTTCTGTTCGGAGATGTGGGATGTTTTCTGGGGAGACGTTCTTTCCGAGCAGCACAGAGAAGAACCATCTTCTGTTCCTCACGTGGCAGGGTCCTGCTCTATGACCAGGCCATACTTTTGCTTCAGAAAAGATTACTCATTACTTACCTGATGTTACAGAGTCCCTAAATCTGCAGTAAAACATGGGTTCTTACACTTTAAAAACATGTAGTTTGTTTTTTTAAGTGTAAAGCTTTCTGGATATTCTTGTGCTCACTATTTTCTTTCTGTCTGGCTTGTTTGGGAGATGCTTTTTGTTCAAGTTGTTATCCATTTTACAGCAGTGAACTGCTCATAAAGATGACCTTTATGGTATCACTGGTTATTTGCACCCAGAGCCCAGCCAAAATCAGAGCTCTATCTGGAGACAACCCCTCAAATTCCGGTCTCAAGGCTATTTTGATTTCAGAAGTAATGGGGGGACAGGAAGGAATAAGCAAACTTGTCCAATGTCTTGTGCTTGGGACATGTGCCAACTTCCATCATAAAGCATATGTTTCCTAATTTCCAGCCCTATAGCCTGATCCTAGCTTCAGCCAACTTTTCTGTACTTCTGCAAGGCACCTTTACTTTGGTCTGGGACATAGCCAAAGTGTGAGCTGGCTGACTGCAGCAAGTTTGCAGGAAAATGTAGCAGGAGAGGTCTGAAGGACCTGGCATCCAGTCTAGGAGTGCAGCTGGAAAGAGCTCAGGCTCAGCAGCAGGAGGAGCTGAAGTACCCAAATGCGGAGGTGTCCGTAGTCTGGGTGGTAACAGGGGAAGGAAAGAGCTGGAAAGATAAAACCACTTTAAAATTGCCACTGATTAACCAGTTATGTCCTCCTTTTCTGGCTGGTGTAGAGAGAGGCTTTGATTTTTCTGATGTCTCATTGTGAAGGCAGGTTAGAGTAGTGTTTGAGGTGGTTTTTTTCAGTGCTTGTTTTGCCCCAAAGTAGCTTTGTTGGACTAGAGTGCCGTTCTCTGTGCTCTGCTCTGTAATAGTTTTGCCAACACAGAGGGAGGCTGTGAAGTTTAATCAATTAACTCCGTGTAAATCAGTTTGAAATGAGTAGGTGCAGAGTATCAGAGAGGAGGTAAGACTTTTAAAATAAATAATGCAATAACATTTTCTTGTCACCTGGGAGGCATTTGCCATAGTCCAGACTTCCCCAGGCAACACTAAAGTTGACTCATTGATGGTCCAGGTCCGTGGGTCTACCACACATCTGGGTTTCCCCAGACACGCTTCCTTCCAGAAACTGAGTGGAATCTGAGACACTGCCTCTTTGGCTGGGATTTCCATTGGGGTGGTCAGAAGAACAGCCTGCCAAGTACCTGGGGAGGCTGGAGAGGTGGCCGCAGAGCATGCACAGAGTGGGTCTTTGGTGCGTGTGTAGACTATACGAGGTGCAGGAGACGTGCCAGACCTGCTGAGCACACGCTGTGGGAGTGACCTGGACATGTCCAGGAAATCCAAAGCATTCCTAACATGGTGGGCTGTCTTGCAGGCAAGCAGCCATCCTGGGCTCCATGCTGCTCCTTTTGGAGAGAGGCTTGCGGTGGTGGCAGAGCTGGGTTGGGGGAGGCAGGAAGCAGACTGCAGTCACCAAGTCTGTGTCGAGGTGCTGCAGATCAGCACTATGCCCTAAACCGATTGCAAACATCTTGGCTTTTCTATCCAGTGTGATGCTCTAAAGTGATGCTAGATCTTGTCCAGAAAGTAGCCAGGTCCTGTTAGCTGGAGACCAACATAACCCCCTTTCTGAGATGAGCACAGAGCACTTTTGCAGCTGCACAGCCATCCAGAAAAGGGATGCACAAGGCCGTTTGCTGGGGGCCACCTGTTTTGGAAGGTTAGAGTTGATGCATTGCAATGTGCTCTAGTAATACCGAGCTGCAGGTGCTGATTTTTCCCAGGACTGCGTGGAATCTGGGCTGGTTTGGGTACCTCTCAACAGTCCTTTGAACTGTCAAGTCAGCGGCTAAAAGGGTGGGGTTATGTATGCTACAGAATTTGGGTAGGAAGACCCCCAATGCTGAGTGACTCCCTAAAATACTGTTCTGGTTAAAAAATGAAAAGAATCCAAAATTGATTTGAAAACTGAGTGATAACAACTGTCTTTCGTGTTCAGCCTGGAAGCTTTGAAGAGAACTGGATGCTTTGTTTTTAAAAGAAATTGTAATGCAGATAATAAACTTTGTCTGGGTATTTTTTGGTAGGTTTTTTTTTGTGTGTGTGTGTGTGAACTAGCATCAAATACCTCTTCCTCCTCTGAGGAAGGAGCGTGGGGGAGGGAAAATCCTTGGTCCTAAAGCAGCAAGTACATCACATCAAACATGACTATGTTAAATACTAAAATGTTCAAAGTACAACCGAGATAGATAAAGGCTTTGATGGGAAGTGGATATTTCCCAGGGACATTACAAGCAATAATCCAGATGTTATGGTGTAATGCAACGAGTGTCCATGGATAGATGGGGAGCTCAAGCCAAGCAGCGCCTGCTGTAGGCCTTAGCCCTCCACTCCCATGCTGTTACGCCATATGGAAGCAATCTCCAGGCCCCTTTAATAGCCAGCTTTGGATTCCATTTTCACAGGGCTCATAGAGCTAAGTGGAGCTGTTTTATGGACAAGTTAGATAGAAGCCTTTCCAAGATAAACATCCAATTCGAAATTAGGACATACCAAGCTGCAAAATTATTTTAGGGCATATTTCATGGAAGCACTGCCATTTTTCTAAGGCGATTGCCAGACTGTAGAATGGCCTTTGATCCCTCGTGGACATTACTCCCTTTTTTATAAAAAGGATTTTGAAATAGTTTAGTGTTTAGGGAGGAATATATCTGCCGGGACTTTGAAGTATGTCCATGGGAACAGTCATGCTTTAGCTTTTTGGCCTAAAAGACGAACTTTTTTTAAAAAAAAAAAAAAAAAAAAAAAACAACGAAATTACATTGCAGCTGGATTTATGAATCAAAATCTCGTTTTCTTTTTAAAGGTAGGAATTTTTAATCAGTGTGCCAGGAAAGCCAAACAGGGTGTTTAAATAGAAGTTTATTAATATGCTTGTGGGATTCAAAGAGCTGGGTATTTTAACCAGTAAAAGCGAGAAAAAAAGATTGTGAGTTCACCACCCATGATTTAGGAATTTTGTTGCTGGGTAATTGATCCATAAAAAGTAATCTTCAGACATCAGGTGCTTTTGCAATCGTTTTATTTAGCAACAACATTTCTTACTTGCTTTTAAAGCTAACACGTCCTGTTTTAAAGTGACTTGTGAAATCTTCTCCTCCGTCTTGCTCCCACCTGTATATGACATGATTGAAGCTCCGAAGTGTGGCGAGTTAAAAGTTGCTTCACGAGAATAAAATATGGCAGGATTTTTACTGCGAGAAGAAAAGTATAGCCTTGAGTTTTAATGTTTCCAGCTCACTCCCCCCAAATAAAGGCCTATTTAATCATCCTCTGTCCCATAAAATATTGCCAGTTAGCAAACTGTTAGCGCAGCCGTGCTATGTAGGATGAAGCTGTGAAGGTAACAAATGTGGCTACCAGGTAACCATAACTCCAGATAAAGAGCCTGGTGGTGTCAGTGTTTTTTCAGCAGGCATCAGTATTTTTGATTCGTGAGCTCAGTTTCTGGAAGCAGGAGCTGCAAAGGCAGCAGGCGAAGAGCTAACGTGGACGACAGGCAGTTGAGTGATTGAGGAGCTGGAAGATGCGTGCTCAGCCTTTCACCTGGCCCTAGACTTTATGATTGTGGGCTGTCTCCCCAGAAAGGACAGACCCGCGTTTTATGGACGTAGCTGGAGACATTTAAGAGTTTACTTTAGTTTCTCCCCCCTCTTCCACCTCTCCTTCCTCTCACTCTCCTGTGTCTTCCCCTGAGACAAGGTAACAGATTGCTCTCAGCGCTCAAGGTCTGCTCTTGCTGAAGTTCAGCCAGGTTAGCTGAAGTTGACTACTCCGGTGGTTTAAGCTAACCCTGCTGATTTTGCTCTGATGCTGAACATTTTCCTTTCACAGGGCCAGCTGTAGTACAGTACAGGCAGAAAATCCATAACATGTTTCTGCCCTCCATTCTCTCCTTACTCTTAGGGGATTGTGATACCTCTCTCACTTCTGGTGCTTTCATATCACAGTCAGTTTGAGCATAAAAATGTGGGTTTGGGAGTATAAATGCTTCATGTCACTGACTTGCTTTTCAGTCAAGTTTCATGCGGAGCATGCGACTCTCCGACTCCTTGCGCAAGAACCAGTTGTGGAATGGGCTGGTGACCATCACACTCTTGGAGGGGAAGAACATCCCCGGAGGGGGTTTGGCAGAGATTTTTATTCTCCTCAAACTGGGAGATCAAAGATACAAGAGTAAGGCAAGTATTAAGGATTTCCTTAAGTTTGCTGAAGCCAATAGGGTATTTGGTGGGTTTTTTACCAGTGTTGCTAACTCAGATGGAACTATTCTTGAATCTCTTCTATATAAATGAGATCAAAACCAGGAGACCAGATCAGGGACATTAACACTTTACGAATATGTTTTACATGCCAATATAGAAATAGGAAGTTAGGAATATTGTGTGTATCTGTTTTTGTGCATTTAACATACTTATCATATTGATGGATGTTTGACATTAATATGAAATGAATTAAAACTACATGCATCACACATGTGTTTTATTCTCTGCCAATACAGAAGTCAGGTTTGCAATGTTAGCTATGGTGGAAAAGCAGACCTGAAATGGTTCCCAGTGCAGGGGAATTATTATTAGTTTTAAAGCACCTTTCTTGAAAAATGTTATGTATAGCAGAACCCGCCCCCCCCTCCCCAAACACACAGAATATTCCATGGTTTTGATTTGAATTTTTGTTCGTCTAGGCTGTGTTTACTTGTATCCAGTACCGTTTCATGGGAAAGAAAGAAATGGGGTTCCCAAAGATATACATTTCATCTCCAAAGTTGAATAAGTAGAGAGGCTATAATTAAAATAATACTCTGTTGAGAAAGCAAGAGCTCTGCATGTCATGAACTGGAAGTGCAGAGGGAGCAGGAGGAGGAAACAAACAAACCCCTCCTGTACAAAATGTACAGAGCAAGTTCACAGAACATAGCGTTCAGATGTAGGCGCATCTGAAACCTGCACTCTGTCCCCCACTTCGGACCTCAAACCGAGGTCATGATATAATGTTTTTATTTAGAAAAGCAGCTTTGAAAAATAACAAACGGGTTAGTTATTTTAAAATAACTATACATTATTCCTGTTAAGATTCCTTTTTATGTTTCTCTTTAATGGCCTATGTCATGAATCTGGAAGACTGCACTGTTTGCAGTTACAGAAAATTAAAAAGTTTGAAATGGGGAGCCAAGTACAACATTGTCTGCAGTGAGTTAATTGCATAGTGTGTCTGTCTGGGGCCCAGCAAAAGTTGGGGACTGCTGCCTTTACGCCCTAATAAGACTTCAAATTGACAGTACTTCACGTTCTTTCCTGGAGTTTATTCAACTTATGAAGTACAATCTCTCATGGTCTAGAAAAGTGGACAAGGTGGGAGAAATCTCAGTCATGGTCCAGCTAATCCTATCTCCTGTTCTCTCAGTGACCATGCTGATATTGCTGGTGGGCAGTGTAGTGTGATATAAATTGCAAGTGATTTAAGTCTCAATCCGGTGAATACTCAGAGCAACCTGAACACATGAACAATTCCACTGAACTCAGAGGGACAATTTACACATTTCAAATTAGCTGGATGCTAATAATTTCAAGGCTGCTCCTTCTTTGCCTACATCTTAACACAGAAGGGTAAAAAATTCTGCGTTGGGTTCCTGAATTCATTCAAGCCTATTTTCAGGTGATTGTCCTCAGAAGGTTTATTCTTGATTTCTTCCAGTGTGTGAGTGAGGTTGAATGATGACCATGGTCCACTGAAAGTGGAGCTGGTGGATCCACCTTGCATTTCAGAATTTCTCCAGCCATTCATTCACATCACACTTGCATATTTACCATTATTGGGAGAGAGGAAAGAGATTTTTTTTTTTTAAGAAAGATGCTCTGCACGATGGGCTGGGGAGCTTTGGTTGGAATGACCTTAGCACTTGATGTCCTGACATCCGGCCTTGTTCTTGTAGAAGAATTGATATGTGCTTTACTGTGGAAATAAGTACCGTTTAAGAAAAGTAAATATTATAACTGCATGTTTTCTAGACACTGTGTAAGAGTGCAAATCCTCAGTGGAGGGAACAGTTTGATTTTCACTACTTCTCTGACAGGAAGGATATGTTGGACATTGAGATCTGGAGAAAGGATAACAAAAAGCACAAGGAGCTTTTGGGAACGTAAGTTGTTGGGTGTTTTCGGGGGGGGGGTAAGTACAAAAGATAACATGATTTTTATTATTATTTTTGAAATTGATCAATTTATTTTCATTACCAGCATCATACTGTATGTTTCTCTCCTTATACTAGTCATGTCCAGATGCCTCTGTAAGGGTATGTTTATTAAAACCTATTACTGGGTAACTGATTAACCATGACCTGAATGTGGAGACACCCAAGCTGACTCCACACAAACTGACTGTAAAATCCAAAATACTGTAGGAGCTCAGTGGCAGCCATTTCTGGGAGAGCTGGTGGCAGCAAGAAGGCAGTATTTGTCTGTATGTGCATGGGGATATTGCTCCACATCCCTTGTGCCCTGCAGGGCTGATTTGCTGCTTCAGGCTGGTGGCAACTCAGGGATCTTTGTGCTCCTTTTAAGAGTGGCACTGGTGTCCCTTTTCACTGTTTGCACCTTGGTGGTGTGTTCTTGTAGCCTTGTTTACATAGGGGTCCTATTACCTGCGTTTGCTTTAAATGGGTAAGCTCTTCTCCACTGCCACAAAGGGCTGTTCTCTGTGGGTTTGGTGCCCCATCCTATGGCACAAGTTCATGTTGTTTGAAGCATAATTTGCAGGTGCAGCCTCACAGGTGATTTACCTATCTCCGGATTTTGTCCCACTGCATTATTCCATTATAGCTCCAAATTCTCAAGTAATGATCTTTTGCCATGTTAGCAGATGAGGCTTTTTGTGGGTTAGTAGTTGAACCTTTTAATTTCTTAACGGGGATAGAATACAGGTCCTGCTCTTGCCTCTCCACTCTAACTCCTTATTCTGTACAGTATTAGTACACTCTTTGTTTCCTAGTAGTAACCATATCTTTCCTCCTGTTGCCTCCTCCCTTCTTTTGGCCTGCAGTGTTGTCCTCTAGACCCCTCCCCAAAGTGCATCTGCACAGCTGGCTACATGCAGCAGCCCTAAGAACCACTTAATTTACCAGAGCCCCTCTGGTCTGTCCATGCTTATCTGCTTGCAGGATCAGTGCTACAACCTCTGAATTCTTAGGGGCAGGGATCTGTCTGCAGTTGTTTGCCGTTCTCACCTGGCAAGCGTTGCACAACTTGCTGACTAAGTAACAGTAACTCATAAGAACATTCTCTTACTTTAAGCATTCAAATAGTTTGAAACTGTTCACTGAAAAGAACAATGCCCTTTGGCTCTACAAATGTTTGTGGTTTTGCAGAGCAGGAAATGCTTTCTGGCTGAATGCTATGGCTCATCACATGGTGAAGCGGCTGAAGATGAATCTGTTCCTTCCATTCTCACAGTTACTTTTATTACTTCTGATATTCTGTTTAGAGTTAGGAAATGTAGCAGTGTTTGCAGCCTGCCTCTGTTCAGTCTCCCTGATGCTGGAGCAATTCTTCCTTAGGTTTTTCCCTCCGCTTTCTTTTTTTTCTTCTACTGGTTTCTGGCAGGTGGTGTTGAGTGTGGAAAAAATTATCAGCAAAATGCTTATTCTATTATTAAAGATTTCAGCACTGGGAAAGCCCGCATGTGTTAGATTTACCTTCAAATTATTTTTGCTGTCTATGTGGAGAGAAAATATTACTGTTGTTGCCTTAAGCACAGCAAATTCTCTGTAGTATCAAAACAGGAAAAAATTATACTAGATTTTAAAGAGTGATTGCAAGAATAGGTAAACGCCAAATGAATAATAACAACCCTTGTTTGTACAGTGTAGAAAGTTTTGACACTCAATAATATTTTATGAAGGGTTCAAGTGCAGTCTAATCTGGAAAAGGATTCTCTAGACAAAACAGCATTATGAGGTGCCATGTTTATTGTCTCCATGACTTCCAAGTTGAGTTTTGAGATTTCTGGATTTCACAACATCATTGTAAGGAAGATTCTTTAGTAAAATGTTTGTCGGTTATATTCAGTCACTACATACAGCAGTACAATTCAACTGCTCTCAAATAACTTGCATGGTTTTAAGGAAAAGGCAAAATTTGCTGGATCTTAATTAATAATTCTGTGGTCAATTTGTGGATAGAGTTAGAATTCATTATGCTCCCTCAGGGCCATGTAGGTTAAACTGCGTTGGTTAGACCCTTAAAAAAAAAAAAATATTTTTTAATATTTAAATGAAGTTGAGGAGATGCACAAGGTGGAGTCATGTCTGATAATCCAGACTGCTGAACTTTTGTGGAATAAAGACTTCTGTTAATTCCTTTAGACCCAGGAGTTCATGTAGGATGGATGCCTTAAGCCCCTGGAACATGGCTCTTCTCCCAGGCATAATTTGGTTTCAAGGTAAAATATTGTTCTTGAAATATGACCTGAAGCATCTGTGGAGACTATGGAACATGTAGAATAAGAAAGAAATGTGTTGGACCTCCAGTACTAAACACTAACACCTGGGGCCTTTGTCTGCTTCTGAATTAGTGAAGAAACATTCAGTGTGATTTCACGTCACCCTTCTTCTATCACAAAATGAACCCTCACCGTCAGTGCACATCGCAAGCTAAATTATTACATTCAGCCTACCTGCATTCTCCTCAGATTTTCAGCTGTATCCAGTTTCTCTTCCTCGCTTAAAATACTGCAGCATATAGTGGTTCAGCTGCCAGGGTCCAGCACTGAGGGGTGGCTGTGTTTTGGTGCTGGATGAAATAATCCCTCTATTTAGTCTGCACAGAACTGTTAGTAACATTTATTGAGTGCTTTTTGTGTCCTTTGGGATAAGAGGCATGCTATAAACAGGAGATGATGTTAATGTATATTAATAAACAAAGGTGTTAACGTGTGCAGAATTTGTCCAGGCAGAGTTAAATTGTTTATGTCAAGCTGTTAGAGAGTCTTTCTGCATTAAGGGGTATGTTTTGAAAAAGAGATGCTGCAAAATGTTGGGCTTTTTTTTTTTTCTTCACATATTTACCTGAAGAAAGAGGTTTTACAAAAGCTGCTAAACTTAAGACCATGAGCTATGAGACTGGATTGCATCCAATATCTTTATGATTAATGCCTCCAGGAAACAGTGTCTTTACAACAAGAAACAATCCTTATTTTAAAGGCCGTGCTGTTGGGATGGAGCAGTAACACCTACTATGGCTGCATCCAAACCTTTCATTTAAATTTCATCAAGCTATAGGAAGAATCAGACAACCAAAACTTATCTGTAGAGTAAGTCAGAATAAAACCTTATTAATTGTCTCCCTGACAGCCGTGGCATTTGAGATTCCTTTCCAAATAATAATCACAGATGCATCTTACTGTATACCATGATAATGACCGTCCTCTTGGTGAAGGGCTTTCAAGAATTCTGCAGGGGAAAAAATGGCAATGTTTTGTGCAGATTTTTTCATATGTATTTACCTATATTTAAGGATACTTACTCATCATAATTTGATGAACTGTGGATTGAGTAAAAATTGAGAAAAAAAACCAAACAAAACAATTCCATAATTACTGGTAAGAGGCTAAGCCCAGCACTTTTTAGTGAAATTTTAACATTTGATTCTCTGACAAAGTTAAATAAATAGTTTAACCCCAAATTTACTGTGTAGTGTTCTCAAGTAATATTTCTCTGCAAAATGAATAAAAAATGGGGAAAAAAAAAGTTTGGCAGCTAAAGATGAGGGCTGTAAGTCAAAAGAACAGTCTTAAATGAAAAACTAAAGCTGTGGTGTAATCCTCTACGGGACTAGAGGTCAATATAGAGGTGTAGACCTAACTATTGATCAGGAGGAGGAAGGAAAGCATTTAATTAATTGTGGTTAAAAAAAAAAAAAAGTGATACACTTGCGTGCACAATGCACTCTTAACTTACAGAACTGTATCCCCTATAGGTCATGGATATAGCCATGTGTGGAAAGATTATACCTGAATTTAATACATAACGCAGCAAAAGGTGACAACAAGCAGAGCTATCCTATTCTGAGATAGGATTACTATGTTGAGAATTTAACTCAGGAGATCATTTGCATCACCTGAAATACAAATAATCTGAGAGTTTTGCCTTTTGCATTCAGATCAGGCAACTTTTGAGCAAACAGTGGATTGCCTCCATTAGTTTTACACTGTGCCCATCGCCGTAGTCTCTTACCACTTTCCTGTGAAATAATTATCTGTAATAAGGTCTTGCAGATAGAAAGCTGAGAAAGAAGGAAAGGCAAGCGTTTCTGTTTCAGGAGGATGAGGGAAGTAGTTTAGAAATCATTAGACTCGTTTTAATAGCGTAGAAGTGTTTGTGTGGAAACTGCTGAATTTATATAGTAAATTGAATGTCTAATTGTTTTACCAAGCTGCATTCTTTGCAGTCTGATCAATTATGTTGTATAACCTAAATGAAACAGATTGTCTTTTTTTTCTTAAGCCTTTTGCCGTTTGCAAGTGTAAATGTGGATTTTCTTTTCAGTTCCTCAAAAGAAAATAGAGGCATACCATCACCTTGAGTGAACACAGATGTTTTAAGGAAGTTAGTTTGCACGGAAATCAGACATGATTTGAGGAAGAAATGCTTATACTCCACCTCCTGCTGTTTTCCCCTCCACATGTGCATCCCTCCTACCCCCACACCCTTATACTGGATCTTTTCTTTGACCTTTGGCTAATCAAATTCTTTTAATAAGAGAAACAATTCCAATTTGCCAAAACAAGCTAAAATTATATTTAACTTTGCCTTTGAGATATGAGAGATTTCTGAGGTCATCTATTGGTCAGAGATGCACCATTGTCTCAATGAGTTGTCTCTTACATTGTGGAAAGTTCTTAACATAAAAAAGCAAATGCATCTTTTCCCAGTTGTGGACTGTGTTGGAGTGGGTGGTGTATGAAGTGCTGATGTGGGAGATGTGGCCTGTATTGCCAGCTGGCCAGCTGGATGACCCTGAGTTTTCCCCTCTCCTTGCTTCAGTTTCTTCATCTGTAAAAACAACAACAACAACAACAAAAAACCCCGAGAAAATGATACATTCCCCCTTTTGCACTGATACCTAAAGTATAAGTAAAACTGGTGCAGTCTGAGAAGCAACTGTGTTAATGCAGCCAAGGTGATGTTGACCTCCAGTGTGGAAGTGATAAGGTCTTTTTCTCAAATGCTTGCCTTTTTTGTGGTTGTTTTGTTTTCCTTTCTGCTGTATCTTCTCTTGTCATATCTTTCTGAAGAGTCTGGGCATAGCAATGAACTTTAAATGCAACCTCTCACACTTGGAAATTGTGTTGAGAAGCAGCCTACGTGCCAAACGGCATTGGTACTCTTCCTGGTTTATTTTCTTTCTCTTTCAAAGCACTTGAAAGCAGTTAATAAGAGTAAACTTGCAACCTGTTGTATGTTCAGTGCGGTGAATAACGAAGAGCACACTTAAGGCCAAGTCATCCCCATTGATTCCGGTCAGAAGAAGCTTACACAAAGAGCTGTGTTTTAATAGTCGGAGCTACTGGATGACTTGCAAACTCATCAGAGCAATGACTTTTACTTCATAACATAGTTTGTTGGGTTTTCAGGCTGAAATGTTTTGGGATTTTTTTTTTTTTCACCCCCCTTAGCATTTGCAGAAAATAGGCTGTTAAGAAGCGGAAAGCATGCAATTTATAGCAGATGGGTATAAACCGCTCCAGCTCTACTACTGGAATGGGATCAATCAGGAACACTACATGCACCATTTACCCAGAAGAAACCCACCTGGGGGAACCCTGTGGAATTTTAGCCTATTAAGACAACACCTTAACAAGTTTAGTTTAAATAAAAACTTGTCGGCAGGCATTAAGCGGAGCGAAAGCTCTCGCTTTCCATCATCCGCTCACCGTCCCTTTGAGAAATGTGACTCCCCTTGCACTGTGGCAACAAAGCTTCTCCTTCCTCAGGTTTTTTTTTTTCCTTTTTCATCTGTAACTTTTGTTCAGCCAGTTCTTAAAAGCCAAACTCCACGGAGGTTCAAAAAAGTTCCACTCCATTTGCTGGACTTCTAAATAGAAGGCATTTAGCTGAGCCAAGTGATTAGGCTTTCTGTTGCATTTAACCGCTCCCTTCACGTATAACTGGCTGTCTAGTGATCTCTCTCTGCTTTACCCCATACTCATCTTTTATTATTGTCTCTTTATGAATGTTTCTCTTTTTTCTCCTTATTTTTAGTTTTTGGGGAAGTATCAGGTTAATGATACATATTATGTGCAGGGGTTGGGGGGGGGACTTTTAAGACAGTCCTTCCCTTTGGGAAATATAACAGTACGCTGAAAATGTAGCTCTAGTAAGGCTTGTAAAAGAGATTGGGGCATACAGTATAATGTAGCATAAAATGGAGTATGTGACTTTAAAGAAACTAATCTATTTTAGGCTAATGTTTTAAATTTTGCATTTGCCCCTTTTCTTTTCCCCCAGGTGAAATAAAATTGTGTTTCAAATCCATCACAAAGCACTAGGGGATTTTAGAGGGGAAGTGAGGCAGGCCAGAGTTAAGTTTTCCTACTGTACTTGCAGCCCAAACCTTTTACCTCTGCTTACCAGTAGGTGAACCAGAAAGCAAAACTGACAGTAAGTGCATAGAAACCGGCTAATTGGTTTCCCGTGTTTAGTTTTGAGATGCTTCTTTTGCATTCTTTCCATCCTGAACAAGCAATAAGTTTTGGTGCCTGCTTGCTACTGAAATCAATATAAATGTTGCTTTATTTCCCCCCCCAGCTCCTTTTTCTCATTAACCCTTGGCAATGTCGTTCTAGGTGCCAAGTTGACATTGCTGCCCTGCCAACGAAACAGACCAATTGCTTAGAGCTGCCTCTGGAAAAACATCCGGGGTCCCTGCTAATGTTGATTGCTGTTGCCCCGTGTACCGGAGTGTCTATCTCTGATCTGTGTGTCTGCCCTTTGGGAGACCCCAGTGAAAGGCAACAGATTTCACAGCGCTATGTGAGTTTGCATTTTTTTTTTCTCTTCTAGTTATGAAAGTAGTCAAAATTGCAGGAAAAAAAAATATTGTCCAGTCATAATAACATGTCTCCTACCAGAGAAAACTATTACACAGAATAGTTATTATATTTAGAATGACAAGGAGATTGGCAGGGCAGATAGACCCAAGCAATTTGGCTGCTTGTATTTGTTGAGTTTTAAACTAATACTTTTCTTTGCAAACTTGAATTGTATTAAGAGATTATCATGGGGAATGAGACACACTGAATACCACGGAGAGACCATAGTATACGTAGTTTTCTTTCCTCCTTTGGGGAGTATATGTTCTGGACTTTCAACTGTTGGAAGATAAAGACGTATGATGGCTTCCACACCTCAATCCTCAAAAGCTGGTCAAGGAGGAGTAAATGTGTATCTCTCTAAAATGTGGTGCAAGACAGACACGAGGAATTTGAGCAAGTCAAAGTTACTTTTGAGGACAGGTTCCTCACTCCTGATTGAGTGTGCTGCCTTCCTGACCTATGCTGCTTCTCCAGGTCTACCTATGTCCCATTTTCTGTTTCAATTGGCAAATGATACCTGCATCAACACGCAGGGCTTATTTCAGTCTCCACCATAAAATTAACATGTAACTTAGTGTAAATGGACAATTTCCTTAGGAGTGGGTAGCGTGTGAAGTTGTGAACCTCAGGGTCACGATGCAGTGAGACTGGGACAGTGGAGATGTATTTATGGGTATATCAGCTACTGAACTGAAACACCGCAGAAATGTAGCAATGGATATAAAAATGTAAGTCATTTAGTAGTTAAATATTTTCTGTTTCGTACTGCATTACAAACAAAATATATCTTTATGCTTTCCTCCTTGCAGTGTATCAAGAATTCCTTTCGAGACATAAAGGACATTGGCTTCTTACAAGTCAAAGTTTTAAAGGCGGTGGACCTGTTGGCAGCAGATTTTGCAGGTATTTATTTTCTATTTTCCAGCATATGATGCTATAATGTATTGTGAGTGCTACTTAGACTTTGTGCAGTACTGCCAGTTGATCAAGGAAAAGTAAATCTCATCATTTCTCCAGTGGTGAAACTTGCCTCAGTGAACTGAGATACCAACTGGGTTTGACTCCCAAAAGTATGTGGGAAGGTCCCATAAATGAAGATCTGATTTGCCCTTTAGATCTGAGCAGCGTGACCAATAACTTAGCACTTAGCATGGTGTGCTGTTGCATTTTCCAGCAAGAATATGTAAAATAAGAGTTGATATAAAGTGCTGGTGCCTGCAAAGCAGCCTCTCCATCTTTTATCAGGTGTGGGCTTGGGTGGTGCCGCAGGCTGTCACCCAAAAAAGAACGCTTGCCAGTGATGGGGAAATGAGTGTGATGGTTTCTCTTACAGCTCGTTTGAGGCTTTGATTTGGAATGATCTTTTTGGCACTCTTACTCCAAGAAAAGGATGGATTTTCTACTGAGCTGTGCCTCAGATTTTGCTTGGTCATGACAGCAATGGGCGCTAACACCTTTTAAAAATACAACTTTATATTGTTTCTCCAGGGAAGGTCTACGGAATTGATACTTCTCTGTAGTGACTGCCTGGATATTATTATTTTTATTATCATCTTCTCCAGAATTCTGGAGGCCTTTTAATTCTCCTCTGTATCTTGCAGCAGCTCATAATTCACAGACACAGCATTGTGTGTTGTATAATTGCTGACATAGTCATTTCTTTAAGATAACTTGTTGATAAACGCAGGAAAGATACTAAGGAGAAAAAAACCTTGCCCCATTCTCTGGTATTCGTGCAGACATTGTAACATATGAAAACGTTGCTCCTAAAATAAGGACCAAAGGAGAAAGCCCAAATTAATCAAGATATTATTTCAGTTTCAATTCACTGCTTAACCCTACAGTGGGAAAAAAAGGTTGCTGCAGGCAGCAGTACTTAAAAACCTGAAGAACTTAATTTGAAAACAAAAAACCTGCCAATAACAAAAGGTAGCTTGTACAGAAATGCATTTCTAAATTGACATAATGTATGCATCTATATGGAATTAGTAGTGTAACTGCACTTTACTAACAAATTTAATAAGAAGTGTACCACAGCAAAGCAGAACCTTTGGCAAACAGAAAGGCTAGGGCTATCTAGAAATACGTGAGGTTTCAGTATAGACAGTGTCCAGGGAAAGA